AGCGTCTGCGCCAGAAGAACGAGGTGACACTGAGCATCCCTGTGGACCACCCTGTGAGGAAACTCTTCCAGAAATTCAAACAGCAAAAGGAGATGCGCAATCAAGGCTCAAGCCACATCGATCCGGAAAGGAACCAGCTTCAGGTGGAAAGCAGGAGCGTGCAGAACGGAGCCGCCATCACAGGCACCAGCGTGGTCACCGTGTCTCAGATCACTCCCATCCAGACGACTCTGGCCTACATGAAAACCAGCGAGGCAGTGAAGCAGAACAACCGGGATGCGATGGAGCTCAAGCCAAACGGAAACGGAGACCAAAAATGTCTCAAAGTCAACAGTCCCATGCGGATGAAAAACGGGAATGGGAAAGGCTGGCTTCGACTGAAAAACACTATGGGGACCCACGAGGAGAAGAAGGAGGACTGGAACAACGTCACGAAGGCTGAGTCCATGGGGTTGCTGTCTGATGACCCCAAGTCCAATGACTCAGAGAATGGTGTAAATAAAAACCCACTGAGGAAAACAGACTCTTGTGACAGTGGAATAACAAAAAGTGACCTTCGCTTGGATAAAGCTGGTGAGACTCGCAGTCCCCTGGAGCACAGCCCCATTCAGGCGGATGCTAGGTGTCCTTTCTACCCCATTCCTGAGCAGGCCTTACAAACCACGCTGCAGGAAGTCAAGCATGAACTCAAAGAAGATATCCAGCTGCTAAGCAGTAGGATGGCTGCCCTTGAGAACCAGGTGGCCGAAATTTTAAAAATATTGTCTGAAAAGAACGTATCGCAGCTCTCTTCCCCCAAGTCTCATTTATCACCTCAGCTTCCCCCCCAGATACCCTGTCAGGATATTTTTAGTGTTTCAAGGCCTGCATCACCTGAATCAGAAAAAGATGAAATCCACTTTTAGCATATACCTATGTGTATATATGTATACAGTATATATGCAGAGGTGTATATATACCTTTATACATATATATGTGTGTGTGTATACGGTAAATATATATACATATATATTTTCACTTGCATCCAATATGACTTGAACACACCAAGGATTTTGATATGTAAATATTGCATGTCCAGCTGGATTCTGGCCTGCCAAAGAAAGCAATTACTAACATAGATATTGCTTGTATAATATGCAGTTGACTGCATGCACACTTTACATTTATTTATAATCTCTATTATGTAATAAAAGAATGACTTTTGTTTAACAAAGGCAATGTACTATTTAAAGAATCAGGGTCTAACCTGCCAATATTGCCATGACAGTTTTGATCTCAGGCTGGGTGAATTGAGCTTTTATTTCCTCACTGTCTTTTCTGCCGAGTTAAACAGTAGATTAATATGACGTGAAGGACACGTTCAGACTCCTGTTAGTATTGTTTCCTGGTATCATTCCATTACAATATACTGTATATTTGGTGATGAATTCCCCTACTCCTCCTAAAGGGAGGGCTCAGCTCAGTGGGCAGGGAAGGGCACCGTGCCTGGTGCTGGGGTGGATCACTGGAATTTATTCGTGTGGGTATTGTGCATGCACAGCCTTTTATTTCAAGTATCCTCCTGCTCTTTTAACATCGTAAGTAAGAAATACTAATAATGGTGATCTATGTAACAAACTGAAACTAACAGAAACTCTCTCAGTTGCACTCTCTGAATGTTTGGGGGTAAATTCTTTCTTGAAAGCCTCCTTTTACTAATGGAATTTTTACTGAACTGTTAGAGTAACATTATGTAAATTCTCTTCACAGCACTCAGTGATGGTGTCCAGTTCTGTCAGTATCTTCATTAGCATGTCCCATTTTTGTAGGGTTGAGGTTGCTCTCCTGGTGTCTCCCCCATTGCCCCTGGCAGAAAGACTTTGCATGAGGTCTGAGCAAGGGAGAGAACAATTGTAGTTCAGCTTCTCGGGAGACACGTGAGCAGGTTTGAAAGCCTGAAGTGAAAAGGCTGCAGTTAAATCCCCTCCACTCTCTTTTCTGAGGACATTTATCAGTCTGCAGCTGCCTTTAGAAAGAGAGAGAATAACTGGCCAGGGTGAAATTCCCCTCAGTCCAAGGCACCTGGATGATAAAGTGTGCATGGGAGAGTGGTGGGTGTGTTGGTAAGATGGTGTCCTCCCTAAGGTGCTGGTCACTGCTCTTGCCTTGGACTCTTGAAGGTTTTGGTGTGTGTGGGGAACACACTTCAAGATCAGGCTTGCAGTGCCCACACAGCCCATCATCACCTGTAATTATGTCTGTGTCAGAGGCTCTGATCCAATTCTTAGCTGACTCCCATCAGCATCTTCCAGTCTTGCACCATGCTCAGACCCCATCTCACCCTCCATGCAGTGCTGCTGGCTTTGCAGAGCTGCAGCAGGAAAGGCTTTGCACTGGAGCCTGTTTGATCTCCTGTTTGGAGCTGAGCTTTTGGACTCTGCCTGGGTCTGCACCTGAGTGTGATGGGGTTTTTTTGCCTCTCCATGTGCACTGGTTTGAATCCAGGTACATATGATGCATAGCAGAAATTGCCATTGCAGCTTCAGAGCTGTTAACTAGTACAGCTTGAGGCCAACCCAGCAGAGCACAATGACTCCTTCAGAGGATTCCCTCCCCCTTCAACTTAAATGACCTCTTGCATCAAGACCCCATGTTTTCAAAAGTGCCTGGAGTAAAACATATTTGTGCCACAAGGCATCACTATGAATCAGGTAAATAAAAGACATGTTTATAATTAGTGCCCATTCTTACCACATGCCAATATTAGATCCATTACCTAACATTAGAAAACTAAACTAAACTAAATTGCTTCCTGAAAACTAAAAAAACCCACCCTGAAACCCAAACAAAGCATCATTTGCAGTAGTGGCAATTAGGAACCTGCATCTTAGGGTGAACATATCTTCAACTGTGAAATCCAAACCCATAAACATCCAAAAGCTCATAAGAAAGCCAAAGAAGTCATTGCTTCTGTTGTGTCAACTCATGGAGGCTTTTTGAGAGATGATGGTCTTTCTTCTTTGCTGTTCTTTACTGTCCTGTTTCTGCCCATTTCTTTAGGAAATCATACACACAGACACACACAGACACACACACACACAAAAAGCAACAAAAAAAGAGGGAAGAATAAAAAGCCACGGAAAGGAATAGCTCTTCCCAAAGCCTGGTGGTCAGACCACCTGTTTATTATAGTCCTCCACAGCTGTGTTTGCTGCTGTCAAAATTTTCAGCAGTATTTTGCAGCTGCTGTTCTGACACAAGTGCATATCCATAAGTCTGCAGCCATGCTTTGGACTGCAAGAACGACCTGCATCTGCAGAACAGCAGGACCTTCCATGTCCTGCTATAAATCCCACCCTAGGACACAAAGAATGGGGAGGGGGGTTACAGGGTTAGGGAGTTACAGGGTTGCTGCAGACTGCTGGAGTCTGCACAGGCCTTGTAGGTACAGTATAAGTGCCAAGCTTTGAAGTGTTGAATGTTCTTGCCTGACTTGGTTAGCTGGTTAAGGCAGACACACGGCGACTGCCCAGGGCTGTTCAGTGAACAGCTGAGTCATGCAGGTTGTCTGGGGCCTGATTTTGGTAAAGTTCCTTGAATGCATGAATCTGCCATGAAGTGATGCTGCAAAACAGCCAGCAGGATAATGGGGGGTGACTTTGTTAGAAAGCTTTAGCCTTAATGGCATTCCTCTGCCTTTGTGACAGACTTGTCTTCTTTCTCTGTAACTGATATTAATTCTAGGTAGAACTGCATGGCATGCAAAGGGATTTCTGTTTAGGTTTATCTTACAAGTCAGGTGTAACTTTGTGCCACTTTACCATGAGAGAATGTGTTAACGGGATTAATCTGACCTTGAAAATTATTTGAGCCTGGAATATCTATTACAGTTGAAGTGCAACTTGAGTGGTTAAAATGTGTAGTGGCTAAATAGTGTAAAACACCAAGTTCATGAAACAAATATGGTGTTTCCAGGTCTATTTCTAATGCTGCTTTGACTCTGATATTCTAACATTGTCCATTGCAAGTTCAGTGGAACCAGTTTGTACCTTGTACGAAGCAGTAGTGTGATGGGTGTCCTGCAGGCACAGTCAGTGCAGCCTGTGGGTGGGCTGGCCCAGGCTCTGTGTACCAGGGGACAGCTGGGGGCCCAGTTTGTGGGGTTGACTCTGGTGGCTATTGCTCTGACAATTCTGATGGCCTTTGCCTCTAGAATTCATGATTGAAGCCTTACATGTTTCATAGAGTTGTTACCTGTTTGGCTTTCCCATGCCCTGGTGGTGGTGCATGATGAGATGAGATGCTGCCGACTGGGGCATTCCTTTTCTGTAAAGAAGCATGAGTCACAGTCTTGTAGTTCAGGCTTGACTGAAAGCAACCACCTGTAGTCATTAAGTGCAATAAGGACACAAATGTGTCACTTCCACCTGAGCCAGTGCTCAAGCATCTACGTGGTGCAGGGAGGGAGCTCTTGGCTGCATGCTTTCCTTTCCTTTAAGAGCTGTATACCCATACAGATGTTCCTGCCAGATGCTGGGAACAGCATCCTGAGCACTTACCTTGTGCTTTGTGTGTTCAAAGCATTTTACCTGCACACGAGTGGATTTTATCTTTCTGGACTTTGGAATAGAAACAAAACGTGTACAGAAAACTAAACACTTTCCAAAGCAAATGAGGTAGAGTACTTTTAATAGCTTTTTCTGTGTAATGTTGCATATACAAGATAGAACAGCACTTCGGGATAATAACTGAAAAAAGCCTATTGTTGTAGTGAAGATTCAGTTCTTCTCAATTTGTATTTGTAAATCCTGGTTTTTTTCCATCTTTCTGTCTTTGCTGGGGGACAGGGGTTAGAGCAGAGCTGACTCTGGAAGTGACAAACTTAAGCTTTGCCCATTTTTCTTTTCCCTGTTCTGCAGAAGTAGCACAACTATAGGGACTCGATGCTGCTGGCACCAAAGTTTGGGCTCATTGCTAGACTCAAGCTCAGTCTTCATTGACCACCACATGGAAAGTAACCCTGTTGCACAGGTGTGAACTGAAAGTTGAATCCAATAATCTTATTGAACCTTAATATGTATTTTGGACAATTTTAGAGAACTGGCAGCTGCAGAAATAACTCTGTACTATTTGCAAGCCTTGAGCAGTCGCTCTGGAAGTAACTGAGACCATTCTACAGACGTCATTGTTTGCATGGGTCAGAAAACAGATGTTATGCTCATGAAATAGCTTGGAGGCTTTTTTGGGGGAAAAGATGTCCTGAACTGGAAGGGAAAACAAAAAAGCCAAAGGTTTAATATGGAATTTGGGAGTGAGGACATAGAGGGATATATTATAATGAACTAACAATTTTTACTTGGATTTTGAGCATTTAGAAAACCTAGGCCTATCTTTTTGGACGTCAGAGTTGGACAGATTGTTTCTTAAAATAAATGGTTTTTTTTCTCTTATGTTTAAGTGTTTTAATACCATTTTCCTGCAGAAGAGGGATTGAATGGGTTTTGCTAACTTTTTTTTTTTTAATAGTCTGCATCTAAAGGTTTGTTTTCAGGGTTTATTTACTTTTTTTTTATACCAGATGCTCTGTGTTAACACATATCTTCAGGTCTATAGGATCTATAATGTTGTGCAGTCTTGCTGCTAATGAACTTGTTAGAGAGGGCTGAGGAGTTGGATTCCTGTGGAGGAAGGCATGTCTCTGTGGCAGGCTGGGCTCTGTGGCTCTCCTGTCCTGAGCTGCAGTGAGAGGTAGGAGCACTGAACAGCAGTAATTTGCATTTTTCTTGACACTTCTGTGTCTGGCACTGTCCCATGGAACCTACAGGGAGGAAAAGTTTGATCCATCTAGATTTCCAGATCTGGGAATATTTTTCCTACCTCTCCCTTTATTTTTTTGGTACAAATGGATAACACAATCTCTACATGT